CTCAATTGTCACTCAAACGCTACGCTGTCTAGTAAATTTTTTAAATTAAATAACGCTCAAGCTTCAAGCAATAAAAATGCGTTTACATATTGCTCTATTGCGCCCTTGTTAAGACGGCGCCCGGGGCGGACAGCCCCCCCTTACTACGCCACTGTGTACTCCACAATGGTTAAGTTTATATAAAACAAAACAAAAATAAATTTTATAAAACTTATAAAAATTACGGATAATGGCAGAAAGAGTTTTTTGTGATTACTTCTTCACTTATTTGTGTAAGTATAGTTTGACGTAAAGTAATATAAATGAAAAGCTATCAAGGTTTGTCAGAGAACTGATAATGAATCATCAACACAATCACAAATAGTAACTGTGTACATACATGTTACATTTTGACATCTTACTGTATACATTTATGATAGTAGAGATGATCTCTGTTTCCTGAATAAATCCGAGTGTCATATGTTTTTATGAAGTTGTTTGTGATTTTTCTATACAAGTTTCATAATAGTAGANAANTGTTTGAATTTTTAATGTGAATGCCGTTTCGATTATTTATCTCTCAGATAAACAAGACTGAATGAGCATAGTTTGCAAAGTCTGCAATAATACATTATGCAAGTAAAATGCAGACTTTGCAATAATACATTATGCAAGAATACACAAATATAATCTGTTATCTGTTTGTCAACTAGTGTTGACAAAAAACAGAAAACACAGAAAATATAAATGTGTCATACCGTGATGCAAATATTATTGTATCAATCAAGCAAAACTTGCTCAAAAAATGTAGCAGATTTGAAGCATAACGCGCTATTGTCATTTCATCCTTCATTAATTTCTATATTTTTGCTGTGTTGTTTTATTTACATATCGTGACTACGTACTTCACTCACTATGATGACATAGCTGAGTGGAATTTGCTCCAAAGTGCTGATCACAACTGCGTGCATACTGCTGGCATACTGCTATCATTTGGCTATTGGGGCTTTATCTGTTCGAATGACTGTAATAAGCGTAGTGTCATAATTTTATTATCCACTGTGCTCTATTCTGTCATTTTGTTATTCTTGTTATGGTAGTGGACTATTAAATATTAGTAATAGCAAAAAGTTTTTCTTAGCTTTAAATTTTGCATTAGTTAGAACATCTTTTATTCTCATTTCTTTTGGGATGTCTTTATATATTGTCAAAGTTTATCTGTTAGATCTGAAGCAATTTGTATATTTGCAGTAAGTTTTAATATTACAAATAGGGAAGACCGGTGCCAGTTGTGACACAAGGTTAGTTGTCAAACTGCTATTATCTTACTTAGTAAATCGTGGAAAATAGTCTTGAAGTGAACTGAAGATCGCACGTTAGTTCAGTATTGCAAGAAAATTTCAGAAAAGGACATATGTGAAAACACGATTTGTACAAGTGTGGGTTATGCTAAGCCAAAAAAAATTTTTATTAGTGATTTTCAAAAAGATCAACTAATTAATTATATATTACGTGCTTCAGATATTAACTTTGATCTTACACTCAAGAAAATCAGAATTTTGGCTTATGTGACAACGAATCCTGGATACGCAGCACGTTGACAAATTTGCACGTGTTTAACATTAAATAACTTTGTTTGTATAAAGATATATAAAAATATTATTTTTTTTCTTAAAGCTAAAAGATGACTATTATGTAATGTACTCAATGTTACATAATATTACATAATATAATGTGCAGTTTGTTAGTTTTAATACTATAATTTGCATGTCACAATGTGCCCCGGTCTCCCCTACATTGTGTTTTACTATTACAAATACATTGCGTTTTAATATTACAACTACATTGCACGGTAATTACTGTAATATTACATTGCAATATTTTTGAAGGCGGACATTTCAACGTTGTCGTAAGCTTGCAGTAACATTGCAGAAATATTTCGCAACATTTCGTTAAAAGTCTGTAAAACGTGGTAGTAACGTAGTGGGAACATCGAAATGTTTGCTTTTTAAGTTGCGATCCGACTTCGTAAAAACGTATAAGAAACGTTCAGAAAAGTTTACTGAAATCGTTGATGTATTCGCAAAGTTTTTCATGGTTAAGTTTTCATAAACATTGTAAAATACATTTAAACTACATGCGGTTAGACCAAGAGAATATTCTCCAGGAAAGAGGGGTTTGAAGCTTAAATTGGAGAATATCCTTCCTGGAGAATAATTTCTTGTATCGACTGCATGATTTTTACATGTATTTTACATGTATTATACAATGTTTATAAAAAACTGAACATTAAAAACTTTGCGAATGCATCAACAATGTCAGTAACGTTTTCTGAACGATTCTTATACGTTACTACAAAGTCAAATCCCAACTTAAATTTCAACGTTTCCGCTACTACGACGTTTTAGAGACTTTTAACAAAACGTTGCTAAGTGTCAAAAAACCCGTTGAGAAAACATTTGTGCTATATGAGTAGTTACATCATATATGACGTAAACGTGTGACGTATATACTGATGTCAATGTTATGACGTTCAGAATAACGTCAAAATTAGGTCATAATCACCAGTTGGTGACAAAAGTCACGTATATTTACGTCCTTACAACGTCAGCTGGTTGCTTGGGTATGTGTGGGTAATAATATATTTTTTATAAAATATTTTTATATATTTCACTTATACATACAATCTTTAATATATAACAGTTTATAACCAAAACCTCAAGTTGTCCCATTTTTGTCTTTAGGTGTCTCTATATTTATTTGATCGGCACGAATTTTACACGAACCGGATGAGCAGGACGAAGTATCAAATCTGCTTTCATTTTTAGATTCTTCAAAGGATCTACAGGCTCTATGTAGAAGTGGTGTACTAGAGATGCGATCATAGTCTTCATTTCGTACATAGCGAACCGTTGACCTGCCAACCGCGCAACGTATCAGAAAAACTGTTTTCTTGTCAGAAAAACAGACAAATTACGTTATTTACCTATGCAATTCCGTGGTCCCGCACTGAACGATAAGTAGGAATAAGGATGGCGATTTTGCATTCGGTCAGGCAAAAATCGATCGGGATCGAATACGTTCGGGTTTGGCCAGAAGTTAGCATCTCTATGGACGCCATAGATATTAAGGTGCAAAATTGTGTTAGCTGGAATCGTATACGACTCTATACAAAACAAAAAAAAATATATATATATATATATATGTGTGTGTGCACATTACAGTGATATGCAACGTACTGTAATCTATGACTTAAGTAATAACATATTACAAATCCGTATACNCTATCACTAATACGTACGACATTGTATCTCTTCTGAATTAAGGCGGGATATGAAATGTACACTGGGATACAATCGCATCACTTCTTTTAAGCATCTTTCTAAATACGGTAGCTTTTGTAAGGACGCCATAGTCAATTTGCCTNCATTTTCTTTCATCACATCAGCAACTTCAGTCCTGACACGATCCTATATATATATTATTAAAAGTCGTGTTATTTTGCTGATTCAATTATAAACGTTTTGTATAAAGGTTTGGAAGTTTCTTGAGAATATCATGTTTATTTTTTTTTTTTAATTATATTGTTTTACTAAGTTTGTTAAACGTATATATAAAAAAAGATATGTCACAAATAAAAAGCGATCTGACTAAAATAAACTCTACTCTTCATTGATGTTGTTCACATTTCGCGCAGGTCTATTTATATATCACAAAATACCTGAATATCCTTGTGCTCAGCTAGTAAGAGTAAAGCAAAACACACACCCATTGCCGTAGTATCGTGACCCTGTAATTACAATACCAATTTTTCAGTAATTACTTCTATCTGAACACTAAAAAACAACTTAGGTGCATACTACACATATACATGCCTCGAACATGAAGGTGTCGACTTCCTCTCTGATGTCCAAATCGGTTATATTATTTTCACGAGATGCCGCTATTAAAAGATCCAACATAGCGAGTCGCTTTTTACGAACTAAGGTAAAAAAAATGTACAGTTGCATCACGCTCCTAATTTTATAAAGTTTTGTATACATTTTATTTTATTTTATGCAAATACCGATAAAATTGCAATTTTAAAATTTGTATCAGATTTCAACAACAATAATATTTGATTGTTTTACGTACTTCCGATCACTTCTACATCATCTGTTTCTGTCGATATACCAGTTTCACTGCTTTTTAAATATTGGTTCTGTGTTCGTTCGTGATATAGTTTTCTTTCTTTAATGACCTATATATGAATAGAAGAAATACATTGTAATATTGTTGATGTTTTGTTATACATGCATTTATAATCTTGCGTATTGAAAAGTAGGTTCTTAAGCAAAGATATTTTACATACTTTTTCAGTAAATCCATGTAATATTTTTAACGTTTTAGCTTGCTTTCTACCTGTTGGAGATAATGCGAACGACCACTCGGGATACAGCCAAGGAGATTGTAATCTGCAAATCATAGTCACTTTAAATGTATAGACATTCTAATTAATTATACAGATTGCTTATGAAAAATTTAAGTGTGATTCAATTTAACATAGAAAAAAAATTAATTACCTTGAAAGTGTAATATGAAGTTTTATTGTAAAATATACTATACATATAAATATTGTATATATATATAATATATACTGTAACAATGTACGTGCGTCAATTACCTGTGTACAACAAAGCGACCCATATCTTCTATTGATTTTCGATATTGTTCCTGGAACGTGTCACAACTACGCAAAGAAATACCCATGGCGGTTTCTGAAAAGTACATGTAACACAGCTTTATCGTACTAAACACTTTGCATAAAGATTTCGAACGTTACATTTATTCGTTTATTGCATATTTATTGTGTCATGTATAATATAGTAACATGGATGTGTTACCTTCGCATAATAAATTCTGTATTGAGTATGATTGTTTGTAAAAGTAGATATTTTTACACACACAAATATGACAGAAAATATGATAATTTACCGCATATTGCATTTAGTGTGTGCTCGCTAAGAAATGGGACTAAATCTTTTATAACTGCTTCTTCACATTCTTTTAGAGTTGTTATCATATGGTTGCTCTCTTCGACAAAAACGTCAACGAAATGTTGCAGTATATTAAAATGAAATGTAGGCGTTAATATTTTTCTTCGAGTGTACCATTTGCTTCCTTAAAAAAACAAGATCATATATAATAAGACAGTAAAAATCACGTCTGGAACATATTGGTGTAATATTATTTGTAATATAACCATAGTTGAAAAGTTTCACATTAATTTGGGTGTGTTACAGTAAATAATATAATGTATCAATTTATAATATTTAATTACATTATGAAGTAAAATTTACAGTCATGGCGTAATATTACCTTTGCTAGTAAGAAGTCCATCGTTAAGCCACGGACGTAACATATCGTATATTATATTTTTTTCGATATGTTTTGGACTGCTTAAAATTGTCTAAAATTACAGAAAATAAGAGAAACTATAGTAAAAATTATATGGTTCTCTAAGTTTAATTTTAACATACAGAGAAGTTTTTGTTAATTATTTTATTTTATTTATATATATTCTCAAGTATGAGTAATTGTATCTTATTAATACTAAATGATAACACTAATAGTAAGTGAAATCGACATATTCACAGTGTATAATCGCGAAAAAATATATTTCTGCTATTTTAATACTTTTAAATCGTCTGGATGACGAATGGATACACAATTCCTTAAACCTAACCAGACTTTTCCAACAGGATAATAAATGTCCGTGTAAAAATGTATAAGGTGCCATATATCTTCTGAAATTTATATTAAATGTAGTAGATAATGTTGTAGTAAATGTGCAATGTGTAAACAATGGAGGTTGTATTTTAACTTTTAAATTATGGAAAAAGGAGCACATTATACTTACCTTGTGAAGCTTGAGCTAAAAGTGCCGACCCGAAAACTGGAATACCAGGTGGACCTGGTATAAGATCGATAAGTCGCCCATTTCTTGT